TAATTACAAGCTGAACTCGGATACCTGCGAGGATCCGATTGGGCTGGGAAGAGGAAGGAATTGGAGTAGACGCCGGATCTGGATTTGTGAATTGGGGATTCCGGGGGGCGGCGCAGTTTGGGCAGCGACCTGGGGGGTCACTGGCAGATTTGGAAGGGGCAGCAGAGGGACGGCAATGAGGGAGGACCTACCGGCGGTGGTCGGAGCAGGGAGGGCGGTGGCGGCCGGAGATGGGAGGGCAGGAAGGGCGGCCTCGCAACATAGTAATAAACAATAATTATAATAGTAATAATTTTAACATATAATGAACCTAGCCAACTCGTCTCCACGGTTGTCCCCCGATTTGCTTCAATTTCAGCCGTTGGATGTTGGTCAAACAGCAGCTTCCTTCGGTCGTTCACGTTGGATCTTCTGTTGTTTTAGTTTTGACCGCGGGGTGAGTTCTTGCAGGCCATGACATGTGGGATTGGCGTCTCGTCAGATTGACTTGCGCGAGCGTCACAGGCGGGCATGCATCATGGGCGCTGCGTGTTTTACGGTCGCCAATCCCGCCCGCCACCCCGCCACTCGCACGCGACCACCCCATCCCGTGAGGCGTGCAACCAGAGCAGCCGACTAATAGGACCAGGAGTGGCACCGGCCCACCTGTCATCATGAGAGCGCAAACGGGGACGTACAGATTTGAGTGCGTATGCGCCAACCGACCCCTCCAGGGCGCCCATGCCAATCCATCTGCGCGCCCCACGCTGGCACGACGCGGTCAGCACGCAACGAGCCACGTGACGCATCAGGAGCGAGTCACCCGAGAAAATCGAACCCAGCCAATGGAAGACATCGGCGAGCCCACCGGTCATCGGAGTCCACGAAACATTACTCGGTCAAAACATCACGGGCGGGTGGGCGTCATGGATCACGGGCGGGCGGGTGGGATTCTGCTGACGGTGGCTGGCGGGTGGGATTCTGCTGACCGAGAGGCTCACGTATTCAGCGGGCACCATCGCCATGCCGCATCGCGTCTTGGTACTGGTCAGATTGCTTTTCCTTCGGGTCGTTTGTTACCGTTCGCGGGCGTGTTCTTCTCTGTCCGGTGGGTCAGTTAGCCGCTGCCTCTTCGGTCCCGCTTCTCTTGACCCCGCTCATCATTGGGAATCAACTGTTAGCCTGTGTTCGCTTTGACCCGTCGTCCATCTCTGCGCCCTTTGTTCGGGTGGGTGGTTCTCTGTTTGGCTGGTGGCTAGATTGGGTTTGCTCGTCTGTTGCGGCCGTGCTGCTGACTGCTGGGTGCCATACTGTTGTGCCCGACGCGCGTGTGTCACACCGTATGGCCGCTGCGGCGTCGCGTGCGTATGCCATGCCCAGGCTGCTGAATGCCCTGCGCATGTTCGCCGCTCTCACTGACATTGGGCTCCGACCCCACGCAGGCCGCGTGTCGGTGTCTGCTTCGTGGGTTCCGATGTCGCTCTGTGCGAGTTGGGCGTGCCGTTGTGGTGGGCAAGGGCCTCCTTTTCTCTTCGGTTTCCCCCTTTTCTTCTTCTCTTGCTTCTCATTCTGTGCACGCTCGCTTCGCCCACTCGTGCGCGCTCTCTTCGTCACCTCGCTTCGTCCCGTTCGAACGCCCTGTCCTCCAGCTCTGCACCATGGCCATCCGTTCCTCCATTGGTGCTGTTGGTTGAGGTTCTTGCTATTCTGCTCCACCGGTTCTTTCCTGCCGTTGTTTCTACGATTTACTGATCTGGTCTGTTTCCATTTGCTCCCTTCGTGCGCAGCTTCCTTGGATTTCGCGTTGGCTCCTTCGTAGGAACGTGGGTCATTCCGTTCTTGCTGGCCAGGTTAGTTCGAGCCTCTCTGCTTCTCTATGGGTGCATGCCTATTAGGTGTTTGATGAAATGCGTGAGGGTTGCTCGATGAATGTTGCCGTGTGTTTTCATCTTGCGTTGGTTGTGCATGGTTCACGTGTCAGTTTCCGCGGCTTGTATGAGGATATGCTGATGCTGATGCTTTTGTGAGATAGTGATGTTTGAAGGCCATGTGTCTTTTTGTTCTAATCTAATTATCAAGTGGGAGGTGTACTCATCTATTTGTTGTTCCCCTCCTTCGTGTTTCAGCACCCGGTGATCCGGAGCAGCTCCCAGGAGAATCACAGGTGAGTACACCTCTCACTTGATAATTAGATTAGAGATCTGTGCCTTTCTTTCTAACTAGAGCTAGACCCGTACTTTTACAGCAGCTACCAACGGACACAGAAGAGATACGTGCCATATTTTCTCCAGCCGAAGAACATTCCGTCAATGACCAGCCTAAAGAACAGACGGATGAGGTTACTTCCTCTCCCCAACAAACCAGATGTTTAAAGTGATTTCTTTACCAATTCCTGTAATGCCTATAATTTCTGTCATGCCCATACGCCACTGCTCATATTGTTTGACTTCTGGTCCCAGCTCATACTATATTCTGATGTTGATTGACAGAATTCTCTGATGTTAATGATATGCTGCAATTAGGTTCAACCTAGGCATTATAAAATACAGAACGACAGACGCAAACAAACAGAACATGTACAAGTGCAGAATTCCTAAGAAATCTCTTTTATAACCAAACTAAACAATTAATTAATAACAGGAAAAAACGAGTTTTCACCATTGTAGTATTCCTCTCCTTAGCTTGCTATGTCCTATGTGCTTCTCTTAAATGTCAACAGCCTGTATAACCTACTAATTAATATCTGCACACTGCAGGATGAGGTGGCAAGCATGGAAGTAACCCACAACCAGTTTTCTTCATATGTGGCATGGTACAAACAATATGAGAATTCACGGCACGGTTCTGAGGTTAGTGATTACAATTAAAAACAGCCAGTCCCAGTTATTTCAGAGACAACCTAATATTAGCATTGGCCTATATATTATCACGGCATTCAACTAACTCCATTTACAGTTTATTTTAGCCATTTTATTCCTTCGGACCTCAAAATAGTAACTCACATCTTCCCTACGTTGCATAATTTTTTTTGCGCTATTATATCATGTAACTGATCTCTCGTTACTATCGGAACCTTGATAAAACTCCTGAAAATGAAGCTAAAGCTATGTACAGCCAAAAAATGTGGGGTCAGGCTACCTCACATTGTTTCCAGTATATCAGCATTTAATCTGTAGAAAGAGATGGTGTTTGCGCTGGTTGTGATTTTTTTGATTTCATTGCTGGAGAGAACCAATTATCTTATTTCGCAAATTTATACCGCCTCTGTATTATTGTCATGCCGCCCTTCTAAACAGTGGCATCTATTTAAAACCACAGGCAGTACCAGCGATGGTCAAAATACCTTACAGGATGATGTTGGATGTTCTTTTAGAGACTCTGGGCCTTCCACCAGCTGAGTACCGAACCAGAGTATATGATGGCAGCAGGGTGTGTGTGACAGTATTGTTCCATACACCCACATCATATGTTGGGAATGATAGGAATCGAATGGCTATTCCTAGGGTACAATCTGTTGATCATTCTATATCAGAAGACAGTGCTGCTATGGAAGCAATTGGGTACATTAAATGCACAGTGAAGACAGAGATAAGAGACTATAATTACAGCACCATGAAGAAACTCGAGGAGGAAAATCGGTCTCTAAAACATGAGCTTAATATGGCTAGGTACAACAAGAAGAAAATGAAGACAAAAATCAGATCCATCAAGAACAAGCTAATGATTGCTACATATGAGAAGAAGCAAAACGCTATGGGCTGGTTCGTCTTAACAAGGTACATGCATGGATTATCTGATCATATATCCAACGTAACGGCGTTGAATATGTCACCTGGGGAAGGACCTGTAGATAAGATTATCAATGACCCTCTTATCAACATAGAGAAGGTGGCGCAGAGACTCAAACGTCGGGTGATCAAGTCAGAAAAGAAGCTAAGAGCCATCAGGATGGGTTTTTAGAACCTGGACCTTTCAATCTATGTTGTATTCTGCTCCTTTTTGCTTTGCCGTGGCTGCAGAAGCTAGGTGCAATTGTATAATTAGCTTCCTCTTTAAACCAAGACTTGCCAAACTAAGAGCCATCAGGATGGGGTTTTAAAACCTGGGCATTTCAATCTATGTTGTATTCTGCTCCTTTTGCTTGCCGTGGCTGCAGAAGCTAGATGCAATTTTATAATTAGCTTCCTCTTTAAACCAAGACTTGCCAAGCTATGTGTGTAAGAAGTAATGTTTCTTATGTTATAAGTATTTATTACGTATGCAATTCATGCTTCTATGGACACGTGCTCAACATCTGCCATTTAATATATTCCTGTATGAACGATGTAGACACAATCATTCATATAAATAACTCATTTCCCCCCTGTTATGGTAAAGAGCTGATATTGTGAAGCTAATTTACTAAAAAACATTGATGCAACTAATACATGGTTTTATTTTCCATTTGTTACATACTATTTGTCCAAAAGTAAAACAATTAATACATGGTTTTATTTTCAAAGCACACATGGGATCAAGGGGCCTTTGCGCCATTTGGCGCAACGGATCAACTAGTAAATATAAATAGAGAAGAGGCCCGGGAGGGTGGGGTGCGTCCCCTGGGGTCGGGGTGTGCAAAGACAACGAATCTAGACACTCCCTCAAAAAAAAAAAATACTCCCTCCGTCCGAAAATACTTGTCGGAGGAATGGATGTATCTAGACGTATTTTAATTTTAGATACATCCACTTTTATGCATTTCTCCGACGAGTATTTCCGGACGGAGGGAGTACGAATCTAGACACGAAGACAAACCGACTCAACGAGGGCATCTCTTTTTTTTCTTTTCTTTTTTTTTTTGGAAAAAACGAGAGCATCTCCAACCACAGAGTACGCGGCACTCAAATATTGGGACTCCACCAGTTTAGATTTGACCGCTAGATACGAGTATGAGACTAGTGGCAAGCCGTCCGATCAGGTGCAGAAAGGACGTCCAATCTGGGCCAGTCCAGCGTGAGATTTGTTGGTTTATCTTTTGGCTAACGATAGGCGCCTTCGGCCGGCGCACCGTGCACGTCCGATTGACGCATTATTAGCCGTCCAAATTCTATCCGCATCCTGTATGTGATATCCACCGCACTGAGTTGCTTTCAACGTGCTCATCATCGTCAGTTCGTCGCCCCCGCGAGGACGCGGCAGCGCCCGCCTTGTCAGCGCTCAGCAGC